CTGTTTCTCATAACCATCTTCTGAAACACCTGGAAAACAGTTCCAGGGCCAGACAGTAACACTAGGTCAAATGAGCCACTTGTAATATCCCCACCAGAGTTCTGTATTGTCAATAAAATCACAAAGCTAAAGCTGAGTGAACATGACTTTACTGGATGAGTCGCTTACTTTTTGTCTGTAGTTTGCTTGAGTGCACCACCTCTCAAATTACAGAGACAACATTCCTGTGAAAGAAATGGGAAAGGAAAAAATAAATCATAACTGGCAAAAAGCTGTTGCCACACATTTGATTGTGAGGTACAAATAATTAATGCTGCAATGAACTGGTTTTGGAATTAAAACTGAATTTGTCATGTTAAGCCCCTTGTGCTTTTGCTGACATATTCCAATGGTTTTAACCAGGTTGCTCTAAAAGGCTGATTATGCTACTTGAATATTTTTGACCACAGACATTCTTTTAAAGGTTGAAATTGTATTGTACCAAGTTTAGCTACATTGTATGTATTATGTGCCATCAAAGCACTTCTGACTCATTAGAATCCTAATGTCATTTTGGAAATATACAAGATATATATTCAAAGAATGATTTTTTTCATTCCCCCCCCCTGGTGAGTTTTCATGGCTGAACAAGGATTTGAATAAGGTCCCCTTAGGCCTAGGCTAAAATTACACTTTGACAATAAAAATATATTTATTGCAGGTTAGCTGCAAACAGGTGCAAGATTGCTTGTAACAATGCCCATGTCCTTTTTCCTTTACATTAATCAGGTGTATATGAGCTTGCACACTGCCATCATGAACATGTTGAGGGCTCAGCACACATGATAGGAAAGGCTTGCTCCACTTCCATCCCCCTTTTCATTAAAAAAGGTTTTATGTACATCTTTGGGTGTGTGATTTCATTAATTTTTTTTAAAGGAAACTACATCCACATATGCAAAGAAAGGAATAAAGGGAAGAAATGGAGATATAATGATGGTGGAGGGAGAGAGAGGAGGTAGTGAACAGGGGAGAAGTGACAGACACTGGTGAATCCACTACCTAGGATTTTTGTTTCCTGGAGGCTCTGTCACCTGAACACCAAGGGGGTGCTCCTGTTTTATTTTACATAACCCCCCCCTTACTGAATTAAAATAGCCCCCGTAATAGACATGAGCAAAGGAGAGGGGAATGGGAAAGAGTGGACAGACAATTGGAGGGGGGGGGGAGAAGTGGTCCTATACCACCCAAAATTGTGGTTTATTTGTAAAATCCGGAGCAGAAAAAAATTGACTGGGCACCATTTAAAGCCACAATAGACCTTGGTGATCCAAATGAATCATTGCAGATTTGACCCAGTTTTTCCCAACATGCAGTTTCAGCTCTAGTCTGATGCTCCATCTACTGCACCACAATGACCACTCACCATTCCGCCACTGCCACGGGCTCCACACTCCCTTCCTATCGCTCCAGAGCTAGTGGTGGATTAACCACTCCTGGCAGAAGGCGGGATGACGAGCCTCTCTGCCAGGTCGAAGAGTGCTAATCCACTGTCAGCTGCAGAGCGATAGGAAGGGAATACGAAGCCCGCAGTAGTGGCAGAATAGTGAGTGCAGATAACCCTCGTTATCTGCACCTGTGAGGGGATATTCATATTCGTATACAAATACCTGATCTCTAATCATGACTACTAGTTGTGGGAATTTATAATTTATTTCATCTGGCATATAATTCAAATGTATTCAATTGCATGCCATTATTTCTTTATAGATGAGTTGCTTTACATACCTAGTCACAGTGAAATCTCATAATAATAGTATGTAATATCACAAGAACAAACTGGTGCAATGAGAAGATGTTCTCCACTCTGTGGTTCTAGATAGAATTGATTTTGTTGATCAAGACACAGCTTTTCATAAAACCTCTTTTCTTTATCTTCAACAAATTTCATCACATACATATGTGAAAACTGCAATCCTACTTAGTTACTCAGAATTAAGCCCACTGATCTTTCTGAGATTTGGTATTTGTCGCGTAACCCCGGTGACCCCTGTGTGTTTTGCCTCTCACACAAGTTCACCTTTGGACACGACTTGTTCTTTTTTGCCACCAGAGGATATTATCCTCACTGTATCAATTATGAGTCTCACACTCTTGCTGCCAAATAAAACAAGATTTATGTAAGGATAAATAAGTGAACCACAGAAGGAAAATAGTGGAGATTCTATTATCATTCATTCATTAAACGTGGATGTGATTAATAAGCCTGCTTGTACTCATTTACTTTAATCAAAATCTCAATATTTTCTAACAATGTACTTCTAATTCCTTTTAACTCTTTAATATTCTCTAACTAACCAACAGCTCAATCTCTAGTCTAAACACGTCACAGTCTTCTCTCTGTCTAAACGCTTCACCATCTGTTTTTCTAACTCACTCTCTGTCACACGCAGTTCTGTTGACTCCACCCTCCTGTCCTGTCATTGGCTCCTGCACTAGAGCTCTAAAATGACTGACAGGAGTGACGTGTGGGCTGTCTGCCACAGTATTAAATAAACATGCATAGGTTTGTCTTTTAAATATGAGACTTCTTGCCAGAGAAAAAGCATTGTTTTTTCTTATCACTCCCTGCAACTTCTTAGACATATCAAAAGTTATGCAAGAAACTAATAGATCTGTGACTGGAACCTATACTGTCAATTCTCTGTTTGATCTACAGTGTAAAAATAACTATACTGCTAACTTCAAAATATAAATCTTTGTTAGGTTGCCTACTCACTGTAAGCCATCCCACTTTCAGCTATATTAGCACCTCTCAAATATTTACAGGTTCTTATCACATTTTCCCCATGTCATCTCCTTTTCCCCCAGCTGTATATATTAAGCCCCCTTCCTAACCATGAATACAAGAATTTTTAATCCTTCCTTAATTTTTCTTGCTACCTTATCTATGTTGTTATCAAAATAACGTGTTGTAATCCATACACAGGTGTGTGCTCTTGTGTGGCCATATTGAAACTGAGCTGAGAAATATTTTATCACTATAGCATCAGTATTATGATCTACACACTAGCGGGGAAGCTATTAAAGAAGTTAACAGGAAGATAACAAATTTCTCAGTTAGCTGTTTGTTAAATCCAATATTAAATACATATTCTTAGGGATGGCTTGAAATAGATATTTGGAATCCCGTCATGCAAAAGCAAACAAATAGAGGAAGAACCACTGCTTATAAGCATCATTTCTTTGTGACAATACATGCCATTAATATCTGCCTTCCACACTTCATTGAAATTGTCCTCACTACAACAAATAAATTATTCCCTCACTATCAAATCCCAACATCATTATTCTGTCCCCATCATGTTTGACCACTCACTCCCCTGATAAATTTGACAATTTTCTTTTCTGTGTAGCATTTGTGTCTTAGAACTTCAGGGTTTTATTTTTAACTGGTTATAAACCTGACAATGTTATCTTCCAAAATTTCCACTGAAAGCATCTTCTCCACCTAGTTCTTTTTCACTGGTAATATTCAGCCACTTTTATTGGCCCCCTAACACTTTCTACAGAATATCTTTGGTGTTCACTACTTCTTCATATATATTTACAAGCTAAATATGGTGGCCAATGCAAGGAGAGTGAACTTTTGCTTGAGCAAGAAAACCTTGCCCTCTTTCACTGGCACTTCCCTAATTTGTTCTGGAGGAGATTCTGGGGCAATCTATTCCACTCATGGGTGCAATTCCCTTGCTAGGGGTGCGACTGCTGGGTGTTCATTTAAATCCAATCCATTCTCACTCCCACCAAGCCATTCTCCATATTCACTGATATTGACTTCCATTATGTTGAGCAGACACATCTTACTTTATTTTTATTTTTCTCCTTAATTTTGCTCCTTTATTTAATACTCCATCCATACTGAGTAAAAAGGTCCTTATCCTTTAATGCAGCCCATGGGTTTGCCCTTTATGGTTCTGTTATCACATTTGTAAGTACAGTGGGGTCTTGACTTGAGAACTTAATCTGTATTGGAAGGCGGTTCTCAAGTCAAAAAGTTCTCAGGTCAAATCTACATTTCCCACAGGAATGCATTGAAAACCATTTGATCCGTATCTGCTCTTTTCCGTCCATAGAAACTAATGGGAAGCTGCTATTCTGCCTTCGACCACTAGAGGGGGATATTTTGTTTCTTGTTTTCTTAAGTGAAGAAAGGTTCAGGGAAGGCAGGGAAAATACAGTCCAGGCAGTACAGTCCCAGGCAGTTTCAAGACTGTCTCCCAATCCGCTCTCTAAACGCTGGGAGGAGTGAGGAAGCAGACAGGCACCCTTTTCACTGGCCAACAGTTAACTGAAAGTTCAAATTTTGCACTTTTCCTGCCTCCCACGTGATTTTTTTCAGTTCTTAACTCAAATCTAAGTATGTAAGTCAAGCCAATATTTTCCTATGAGAGTGGTTCTTAAGTCAAAATGTTCTTAACTCGAGCCGTTCTTAAGTCAAGACCCCACTGTACGGTATCCCAATGCATGCAGTGGCTTAAGAGCAAATTTGAAGTGCAGGTGCTCATTATGACCATCCTCTTAGCCACAGTTCAAAGGAGAGCTACAAAATGCAAGAAATTAGGCTGATTTATATCAACAAATCAGTTTTATCAGTTGTCATCATCTAAAAGAGGGCACTATAAGATGGCTATGGAAATTCATGACCCACCCTACCTACTATTATGAGTCAGAGAACATCCGGAAACATGGAGATGTTCCTGTCCCTGTGATTCAAGAAGTGACGTTTGCAAGCCCCAATCCTGCTATCATGCCCACCCAAAGCTCTTCAACTTTCTCTAAAGAGTCTGTTCACTCTCCTTTATTACTCATTACTATTTCTTATGGAATGCTTATACAACGTCATCTTGTTTCTTCGTTCTTCCAGCTCAGAAGCCACCTGTTATGCAGAGATTCTGTCATAACTCAATAATCCACACTGCCAAATTAAACCAAGTATACTTAACTGTATTTGGTCATATTCATCTCTGATTCTTTCTCCCATATCCTCTGTTATCTTCTTTCCTCACCCGCACACCAAGGTTTAGGTTATCAGCTCAGGGGAGAGATATGTCTTTTTTCTTATCTAATTCTGGGAAGTGCCATGTACATTGCCAATGCTTAAAATGTTTAAAATATGTTGTCTATAGTAGTGGGAAAATATAACTTCTAGATTATGTTCATTATTTTGTTCAGTTGGAAATGG